ACCCCACCAATGGGGTGGGAAGGTAGAGGCAAGAGGATGCCTGGAACTGACCGGCCAGCCCCCAGGTGTGGTAAGAAATCCTTGATTCAAAATGAAGGTAGAGATCCATAAAGGAAGATACCCAGTTTCTGGCCTTATACACACACGCACACACACACGAACACGCATATAAACACCACACACAAACAGGTGATGGACAGTTACAGGTGTATTACAATGGTGGAGTGTGAGTACCACACTGGAGACCAAGAATTCAATCCCAGTTCTCCTAAATTGATGGAAAAATACTCTCCTTACTCAAAACCAAAAATCATACACTGTTGATTGGTTGCACTTGCCTCAAATGATGACTAAGTTGTTGGCAACACAGAGCTATTTATTATACTCTGGCTTACAACATCTAAGAGACTGCTTAAAATTATGCAGTGAGACTTGTACACAAAGTACAGTGACCACTACACAGAGCCAAATGCATGCCTACCTCAATGTCTCAATGCCTCATCTTGTAGTTCAAAGTGTGGCTTTTCTTACTCAAGATTTTCCCATGTTTGAAACTGGGGGATGTGGTGGCAAACCAAGTTCTGCAAGTTCAAGAGACACAACTACAAAAACTCAAGCTGGGGGTTGGCCATGTGGGATCTGTTGGTCATGTAGTATCCCAGAGTAGAAGGCACCTTACTTGCACCCTGCCCTACCCAGCTGAGCAGATCCTTCCATAGATGTGGGGGTTCAGCTAAAGACAGGGAGGCCTAGTCTGTACAATGTCTCCCAGGCCTTAGCTTAAGGATCAAAAAGGTAAAGTTGGTGTACTTTAAACCCAGTACTAGGGAGGCAGAGGCAGGTGAGTCTCTGTGAGTTCGAGGCCAGCCTAGTCTACACAGTGAGTTCCAAGACAACCAGGGATCCACAGAAAAACCCTGTCTCGAAAAAACAAACAAAAAACCAAACAAACAAACAAAAAAGGTAAAGCAGATCCCAAGAAACATGAGGGTTCTGGGTTCTACTTGTGGTCATTCTGGCACCCTCAGACCCCAGTGCTTGGAGGCTACATCTAGCACAAAATAAGGATGAACAAGAGAAAGAGAGTGTTAGCCCCTTTTTAAAAGAAACCCAAGCCAGGCATAGCAGCTCATGCTGGGAACTCCAACAGTTGTAGGGTAGAGGGAGGAGGATCAGAAATTATCCTTGGCTCACAGTGAATTCAAGGCAATCAAGAGTTATCTGAGATGCTATGTCAAAAAAGCAACAACCACTAAATAGGCTGGAGAGCTGACTCAGTGGTTCGAGCACTTGTTGCTCTTACAGAGGATGTGGGTTCAATTCCCAGTACCCACCTGGTAACTCCAGCCCCAGGAGATCCTCTTCCAACCTCTTTGGACACCAGGCATACATGTAGTAAACATATATGCAGGCAAAACATTCATACACATAAAAAATTATAAATAAAAACAAATAACAACTACACCCAAGCAGGAGCTGAGCTACAGGGAACTTGGGACTATCCTCTCTCCAGACTCAGGCTTTGGGTCCTTCACCACAGCTCTCAGCAGTCCAGCAACTCCATCACTGGAGACAGAAACACTCAGCCATCCCACAACGACTGCCTGATATTCTGAGGCACTAACATCCTCGCCCTCCAAGAAAGATACAAGGCTGGCCACTGCTCCCAGGTAGCCACCTGGGAACAGAGTGGCCCCTTGAAAAGCAGCAAAAGGAAAGCTAACAGTGATAAACAAACTAAAACACACAAGTAGGCTATGCCTGCTGAGTCTGCCCAGTTCATTATTTTTTTAAAAATAGGGCCTCAGGCTAGAAAGACGACTCAGTGGTTAAGACCAGGTATCTGATTCTCAGCATCCACGGCAGACAGCTTACAACTACCTGAAGCTCCAGCTCCAAGGGGGATGCAGACACCTATACTCTCACGTACGTACCCACACAAAGACAACAACACACACACACACACACACACACACACGCAACTTAAAATAATAAAAATAAATATTAAAAATTAAAAAAGAGGGATCTCCCTATATGTGCCAGACTAGCCTTAAACTTCCAATCCTGCTGCATCAGTCTTCCTGTGCTACAGTGTTTCATTCTTAAAACTGCCTACCTCAGAGCCAGGCATGAAGGTACACAACTGTAATTCCAGCACCTGTCAGGAGGAGGCACCTGGGAGGTAGATAGAGGCAGGAATATCAGGAGTCCAAGGCTAGTCTCAGCTACAAACCCAGTCTTTAAAAAATAAAAAATCCCAAACATACACAAACAATAAAAAAACCCAGGCACAGTCCAGCCTTCACATAAAAGGTACCTGTCGTGAGCCTGACCAGGTTCCTCAGGCTGGGAACAGGACTGTCCTTTCCACCAACATGGAAGAGGCCTCAAGTTTCTTTGAAAGGAGACTCACAGGCCCCAGAACTTGATAGTGGGGGGGGGGCACCCGAGGCACGTTTTGAAAGTTCCCATTTAAAAAGATCCTTGTTCATTGACTTTGGTGGAGCAGTTACGCTAATGCAAACAAGAGGAGCTTGTCTGGGAGCTGGTGGGGGAGGTGCTTCAGCTGAGTCCTCTGTAGACTCTGGCTTATGGGGTCTTCCACCCCAAGATGGCTCTTCATGCATGAGGTTGTCCCCACTACTGCTCCTTCACTGGACGCCAATGAGCATTCGTGTCGCCTGGCCTGCAGTCAAGTCTCTAATGGCATATTACAGTGCACCCTTGTCGACATAATTACATTATGATTAAAAAAAAAAATCTAGGGAACCACAGGAGGCGAGCAATAGAGCAGCATCTTCACCCACCCTTAACAAGAACACAGCTTCTAGCACATTCTGGTTCCACAAATTACAGGCACGTTTCTGCCAGGGGTGTTCCCCAGGAGGGCACTAGCAATTTGGGTTTGTCTGCCACCTACAATGATCACCAGTCATGCTTATTCAACACCAGGCCACAAAGCTGTCACAAACCACCCCTTGCTGGCTACCCAAAGCTGGAGCACCAAGGTCCTCCAGACAGTGAGAAGGCATAGGGCAGGGCAACAGAGGCATCCTAGACCCTAACACCACCCTGTTCAACCCTCCCGTCTGCCTTCTGGATAACACAGATGAAATCAATTCAGCACCCCCTAAACACCAGCTCAAATACCTTTTGCCGCTCCTTTCCTGCACAGGAGACCAGGAGCTGCAGCTTCACAGCCCCCTCCTCCCCTGCAGCTCTGCAGGGCAGAGAAGGGCAAGAACGGTTTACAGCTCCCTCAGCCCTTCCCCCACTCCCTCCTCTCCAATAAGCAAAGTTGCAGGGTGTTAAAAGCGAGCTACCTTGGAGATCACCCAGTCCAATCTCTGATCTGCTTTCACGATGCGACAAGGGGCAAAGCTGCAGCACACAGCATCTCTGCAAGAGAAGCCAGTGAATCCTCCACAGCACTGGGTGCTGGTCCTGGGCAGCCTCCCTCCACAGGCCCAGGGATTGTGGTAGGGATGTCTCCCAAATAAATCACCCCCACATACACCTAACACGCGGTTCAAACCCTTCAAAGGAACAACTTTTCAGCATCCCTCATAAAAACAATCGGCACGAATATTCCTGAAGTGTAGGATTTGAAGATGACCTACTTCCCCCATCCCTCCCCCAAAGCACTTGATTTCTTCAACATGTTGGGGTCTCTTCCCACCTGGAGCCCACACAGCTTCAGGCCAGTCGCTGCCTCCCCCCCCCCGCCCCCCGCCCCCGCGCCCCCCAGCAGCTTGGGCAAAGTATCTCTGCAAAGCCCTCATCAACTTGCTCTTCTCATGCAGGATTTGGATCGAAGCAGCAAATTGAGGGTGCTGTTCACATTTGTTCCAAGGCTGGCGGAGGTTCCCAGTTCCAGTGACCAGCCATTTGTCACCCTGAATCAGTAAGGCACCCCTGCAGCTTTTTACTAACGCTTTCTTACTACGAGGAAAAATAACAGAGGAAAGACTCCACCACACCCTACCTGTCAGCAGTCAGTGGAGCCAGCTGCAGGGAATGTGCTGGGAACACACTTCACCGTGGGGGGGGGGGGGCAGACAGCCAGATGTATTGTGGCCCACTCTCTTGAGCTTTGGGGGCCTATAAGACCACTAGAAACGACTGCTTCAATCGCTCATCTTTACAAATTCTGTTTGCCAGGTACGCGTCTTTGAACACCCCAGTAACAAGAAGCTGCAAACCACAGTGTGTGGTCAGCTAGGGTACCAGAAGGGGAGACTGAGGCAGAAGTTGAAGCCACACTCCGTCAGTATCCCACAGGGTAAAGCAAAAGACCCAGACTCCCCAGGGGACCTAACGCCTCTACCCACCCATGGCTGACCCCACCTTCTAAGGTTATTACAAATAACTAACCAGCAAGCTGTGCTCCCCAACTTGCACATACCTCCCCTGGAAAAGCCCTCCGCAGGAGTGTGCTCGCCGGGCGCCCATCTAGCGCAGCACACCTTGGAGAGGAATGGGTTAAGCTCAAGGGACTTGAGGAAGATGGGAGAGGGACGGGGGGCTTCTCCAAATCCGAGGCTCTGCACCTGGAGCGTAATGCTCCCTCCCGTCTTCTCCAGGAACGAGGTGGGCTTCGGGAAATAAAGGTGGCCGCAAAAGGGTCAGGCCACCAGCTAGCAGCGCTGCAAGCAATGTATGTTGGGGGACAAGGATAGAGAGCGGTAACCCAGAAGCATTTCAAGGTAGTGGGCCCAGAGCCGGTGAACTCCCAGAAGTTAGCAAGGATTGGGGAGAGGAGGGTGCGCACCCAGCGCCAGAGGCGGGAGGTGAGCGCCGGGGTGGCCCCGGGCCGGTGCGCTAGGAGGCAGACACCGCGGCCGCGGGGCCGAAGATGCGGACGAGCAAGGGCAGGTGCGGGCTGCAGCGCAGCGGCCGGGTGGGGGCGGGGGGAGGGGGAAGGACGCGGGGTTGGTCGGGCCGCCGGTTCGAGGCCCGGGCCGCGCGGAGGGGGCGGGGCGGCAGGTGCGGCCGCTCACCTGTCTCCTCCGGCCGGGGCAGCGGGGCTGGTAGGGCTAGCTGGCGGCTGGGGTGCGGGGCCCCGGGCGCACCGGGGCGGCGGCGGGGCGTCCGGGCGGCGGCTGCGCCCTCGGCGGCGGCCGGGCGGGCGGGTCCGTCAGTCAGCGACGCGGGCACTGAGGGAGCGCTGCGAGGCTGCGGCCAGCGCGCGGGGACAACGCCGCTTTATCAGGTCGGAAACAGCCGCTGCGCGCCGCTTCCGCTGACGCAGCGCCGGCCTGCGCCTCATGACTATGCAGCAGGGTAGAAGGGCGGAGCCTAAGTCGCGCAAGTCCATTGGTCGGAAGCAGTCAATGGCCCCGCCCCTTGAGAAAGCCCCGCCCCTCCTGCCGAGCCCCGCCCAGGGCCTGGTAGTGGGCTCTGGAGGCGGCTGTGTGTTCCGCCGCCCTCGCCTGGCTTTCCTGCCAGACACCCTCAGGCTCTCCAGCCCGCAGCTGTGTAACGTGCTGTGCTCACCTTCCGCCAACAGAGCTGCACCCCTCTTGGGCGCAGACTGGTTGCCTGTAACTCCCCCATCCTTACTCCTTCTCATCCATTGCCCTCTCTGGTCATCTCTCATTTCTGAAGCTCTTCGAACATCCGCTGAGCCATGAATGCCCAAGCCACCCACACCTGGGTCACAGAACTGATCTCTCCCAGTGCTGAGAAGCCAGACGAGCCCAGGTCCAGAAGGGGTCTGGACAGATACAAGAAATGATGGGTGATGCCCTGTTGGCAACCCAGCCCTAAGCCTATGCCAAGGTTTAAGTGACCTCTCAGGGCCCTGATGTCTTCATCTGTAAACCAGAAATTTTATGATCTATCTGAAAAACTTGGGAGGAATTTACAAAGTGTCCTGGTCAGTCTCCAGAACAGATAAAATGGGAAAATCCGACAATGCCAAGTGTTGGCAAGAAAGGGAGCAACTGGAAGACTCACCACCACGGGGATATCTGCTTTTTTTCTTTGTTTCTGGTTCAGTTGGCTGTTTTTAGACAGGATTTCACTCCGTAGCTCTGAATGGCCTTGAATTCACTCTGTAGACCAGGCTGGCCTCAAACTCAGAGATCTGCCTGCCTCTGCCTCCTGAGTGTCTGCACACCATGCATCCTGGAAATCTACTTTAAAGGACTCAATCAATGCCCAGTGCTTCCACTGTTCCTAGCAGTGATGTTTAGCGTGGCCTCAAGCTGGAATCAGTCCTGTGATGATGTGTCGGTTATTGAAGGGTTATATAAATTGTGACATAGACACTCATTGGATCAACAGTGAACATTTTCAACTACAGGGACTGGAGAGATGGCTCAGTGGTTAGAGCACCGCCTGCTCTTCCAAAGGTCCTGAGTTCAATTCCTAGCACCCACATGGCAGCTACCAACCATAACGCCAAGGTCTGACATCTTCACACAGACAAACATGCAGGCAAAACACTGATATACATAAAATAAGAATAAATAAAGTTTAAAAAATTATAACTACATAAGATAAATATGAGTGACTTTTTTTAGTTTTTCAAGACAGGGTTTCTCTGTGTAACAGCTCTGGATGTCCTAGAACTCACTTTATAAACCAGGCTGGCCTCGAACTCACAGAGATTCGCCAGCCTCTGCCTCCCGAGTGCTGGGATTAAAGGCATTTGCCATCACTGCCCAGTAAATATGGGTGACTCTTACAAACGGCTTTGAGCAAAAGAAGTTAAACCAGAGCTAGGTGCCCATCAATGTCAGGATTCTCAGAAGTTCAAAGCCAGCTTGAGTTAGTTAGTGAGTAACAGGCCACTTTGTGTGCTACTTGCCTCAAAAAAAAAAAAAAATGGGTACAATGCTCCACTTCCGTTTTCCCAGCACTTGGAAGGTCTGTGTGGCATTGAGAGTTCCAGGCTAGCTGTGACTACACAGGAATCAGTGTTAGGGGCAAGAAATTTAGCTGTAATATTAGTTAGGTGATAGTGATGCACACTTTTGATCCCAGCACTGGGGAGGTAGAGGCAGGAGGCTCTCTGAGTTCAAGGTCAGGTCGCCCTGGTCTACAGAGTGAGTTCCAGGATAACCAGAGCTACACAGAAATCTCTGCCTCAGAGATTTCTATAGAAATCTCTATAGAAATAGAGTTGTAGATGTCTGTAGCTGGCTTAAGGAGTCGGGAAGGTGACTAAGCTTGAGGGAGGGTGCTGGGACCAGGAAGTGGGTATGGCGGGTGAGTCCAGGGCCTGGTGGTGCTTTTGGTTCCTGGTTTGGGTGCTTGGCATACAGTGTATTCAGTCTGCGACAGTTTCTCCAACCGTGTACTCTTGTGGGTGACTCGTGGGTGACCATCATTGAGGGCATGCCTCCCCTGTTGACATTTTGTTGTTAATGTTGTTGTTTGGCTGCTTTGTTGTGTTTTGAGGATTTTATTTTTTGAGGATTTTTTTTTTTTAAAATTCCGTGTGCACGTATGTTTCCGTGTGGGTGTGTGTGCATGTAAGTGCTGGTGCCCACAGAGGCTGCAAGAGCTGAAGCTGGGGTTGCAGGTGGGTGTGAGCTGCTGACATGGGTGTTAAATCCTCTGCTGGAACAGTGTGTGTTTTTCGCTGGTGCACCGTCTTTCTAGCCCTTTGAGGGTCTCCAAGAACACAATAGGATTGTCAGCAAGTCCCTCTACCCACTGAGTCACCTTACCTGCTCCGCCCTGGTTGATACTTGACTTGCAATTCCATCTGAGCCGTGTTTCACCTGTGTGACCGTGCACTTTACTGAGTCCTGACCTGAAAATGAGCACGCCACTAAGGCATAGTTCATGGTTCGAGGACTGGAGAGATGGCTCCGCAGTTACGAGTGCACGCCGCTCTTGCAGAAGACTCGAGTTTGGTTGCCAGCAACCCCATCGATACATGACGCCTCTCTATAACTACAGTCGCAGGAAGATCCAACACCTCTGGCCTTCCCAGGCACCTGTACTAGGGTACGTAAACATATGCATAATTTAAAATAATAAATCTTTTCTTTAAAATATCGTTCTTTCTTGTCATTGGGGTTAAACAAAATAATAAAAGTTTGAAACAGAGTTTCATGTAGAACAGGCTAGCCTGCATCTCACTGTGTAGCTAAGAATAACCTTGAACTCCTGATGCTCTTGCCTCTATTTCCCAGGTTATGATATGGGATCGCTGGCAGACACTGCTACACCAGCTTTTTAAAGGTATCTTTCAGCCAAGCAGTGGTGGCGCATGTCTTTAATCCCAGTATTTAGGAGGCAGAGGCAGGTGGATCTCTGTGAGTTTGAGGCCAGCCTGGTCTACAAGAGCTAGTCCCAGGACAGGCTCCAAAGTTACAGAGAAACCCTGTTTTGAAAAAAAATCAAACAATGGGGGGGTGTCTTTCATTTTGTTGTTGTTTGAAATAGGGTCTCATCAGCTCAGGCTGGCCTCAAACTCCCTCTGTATCCAAGGATGATCTTATTCTTCTGGTATGTACCACCACATCTAGCTTTGAAAAAAAAAATTAAAAAAAAAAAAACAAATGATGCCTTTGAAAAAGACAATAGAGGACAAAGTACCAAGAACCAGCTTAGGACCTTGTTTAATTATTCACTAACTGATGATATTTATTGATCTTTTTTCACCTTCATTTATCAGCAAGCAGATAGGGAGTGCACAGGAACCATGTCCTCTAGGCACACTGGACTCCGCTACTCAGAGCCGGGAATTCCTCTCCCTAAGGATGCCACAGCGGAATGGGAAGCACGTACAGACGAGTGAGCGAGCATTAGCAGCCACTGCTGAGAGCCCAGCAGAAGAGCTGAGCTGCTACAGGCACTCAGCAAATACGTCTCTACTGGCTGAGCCATCTTGCCTGCCCTCAGCAAACATCTCACAAAGTATAAATGACTGCATGCGTGAACGTTCATGCTTAAGCTGGGTGTGGAAGTACATGCCTAGGACCCTAGCACTTGGGACGCAGAGGCAAGAGTATTGCCCCAAGTTGAAAGCCATCCTGGACTCTGTGGCAAGACTCTGTCTGAAGAAAGTTGCAAAGAGGAAATCAGTGCTTGATTAAGTGGAATTTAGGAAGGTAGTTTCTAAGCCCGAGGTGTGGAAATAGCTCAGGAGTTTAGTTCTATAGTGGACAATGAGATGAAGCTATCAGATAAAAGGCTAGAGAGAGACTAGGGAAACGGTGCAAGCATTAAGAGCACTTGCTCTGCAAGCGTGAGGACCCAAGTTTGAAATCTTAGTACCTACATTTTAAAAAGCCTGACACATAGGACTGGAGAGATGGCTCAGAGGTTAAGATCCCTGGCAGCTCTTTCAGAGGACTTGGGGCTCAATTTTAAAAACATATATGCATACTCTTGGGACACATCTGGTTAGATGTCAGGTAAGCAAGAATACACACACACACACACACACACACACACACACACACAGCCTAACAGCTCCACAGGCTGTAACCTCAGCACCAAAGAGCAGAAGCAAGCTGCCTCAGAGCTCCCCAGTCTGCCAGCCTAGCCGAAAGGGCAAGTTTCTGATTCTGCCAGAGTTGCAAGTGGTTATGAGCCACACACCTAATGCAGGTGCTGGAAACTGAACTCCAGTTCTCCGAAAGAGCAGTGCCTGCTCTGAACCACTGAGCCCCAGATGCTCGGCAGTTTTTTGTTTGTTTGTTGTTTGCTCTTTAAAAACAAGGCTACCACAAACTGTAAAGCAAATCCCGAGTCCCTGTGTGTAAAGCACACTGACCTCCCAGCTGTTTAGGATCCTGGAGTACCGCGAAGGCTTCGTTGCTGTCTGAATGTCATCCCATCTCAGCTGTGGAGACACTCTACATTCCTTTCATTTGGGGGGCTCTCTCTCTCTCTCTCTCTCTCTCTCTCTGTGTGTGTGTGTGTGTGTGTGTGTGTGTGTGTGCTTCCCTGAGACAAGAAGGTTGGGGCACAAGAGGCTGTACCTGCCACTGTACAGCCATAGATGACATGGCCAAGACTCACCCCTGGGGCACATCTGGCTAGGTATCAGGTAAGCAAGATGGCAGATGAAGGAAGGGAGGATGCTGCTTATTGCTGTTAGGAATCTTTCCTTTCCTGTCCATCTCCGTGCCTTACACATGAGAGCATGATGGCCCTTTCAGGGTAGATGTCTGCACCCGACCCTGCATCAATGCATGACAGGCTGCCCCAAGACAGCTCCAGACTGGTGGTCTTCCCGGACCTGCTCCTCATGCTGAGCTGAGAAAAGT